AAGAAGCTAGTAAATGATTCCATATTATTCATGTGTGTCGTTACCTTCGATTCGGTAATGAATAAGAAGATAAGTATTGTTCAACTCTTAATGTCATAAAGAATCGAGTCCGATTAGTATAAATCCGTGAAAGGAGTTAATTGGTTCAGAGAACCATGTCATATATAGTGACAAAACATCAGTAGGAATACTGAAGAAGTAAATGGTCGAGATAGTCGATAGAAATATAACAATCTTCATTAAAGAATTGAGCAATCACTAGCCAGAGATGTGACTTGCTATGTGGTGTTACTGGCCACAAGAAATGTTTCTGCCCTACTCTTACTAGTCAAATGGCGGGAAGTCAAGTTGCCGATCAACAATCAAAGAGTATTCTAACTAAAAAGGAGGAGGTGACAAAAGCTAAAAGATGTGTATATCCGAAATCATGAATTAGAGATACGTAGTGCTATTCTTTCTATTCTTAAGCATCCACGTGTTGACCAAACTCTTTTTGTTTTCGCTATTCTATCAGCTCGATTTAATCGATCTGATTCTAATACAAGAGTTTGGATCGTTATGTGTCTTGTGTGATATAAAATCAAAGGTCATTAGAATATGACCATTCGAGTTGTTGTTATAGAAAAAGTTAAGACCTTATCTTGGGTTTAGTATATAAACCAAGAAGGAGCAGGAGTCTACAATGAGAATTGAGTTTTAACTCAAAGATTAGGATCGAATGTTCAATAGAGAATGAAGAGCAGGTGCAAATTTGAACACCGCCAATAATTAGGAAGTTTGAAGAATTTGACAATCGTTTGGCAAACTAAAAGCTAAATATCGTACATTTAGATTACCACAAAGGAAGTAAGTTAAAACTCGAATGTTGTGACTAGTAATTTTTTTCTCGTAAACTCTAGATCTACTCACATCTTATTTGATTTTAATGCCTCAGATTCTTTCGTGCCTTATAAATTCGCATATTCTTTTCAAATTGCTTGTTACGCAGTTGTCCAATCATTTCATATAGATAACATAAGAAATATATCATTACTTGTTGATAAAGCCTATAGAGTTAGTGTTATAGGAATTGAAAGTTATAATCTTCCTGCTAACCTAATTCCTATCTTTGATATTATTCTCAACATGGAATGGTTGTTAAAGAACCAATCAAAGCTCTTGTTCTAGAAGGAGGTGATATGCATCCCTATCGGAAGGGAAGATTCTATTTATGTCTACAGTGAAAATAATAAATTTCTTTCTTAAAAACTCGTAAATTATGTCGAAGGGATATTCTACTTATCCGGCTTATACAGTTAATACCTTGAAAGAGGAGAAGAAAACTGTGAATGATAACCTTTGGATAATCATCGACCGACTGATGAAGAGAGCATATATTCTCGCCACACGTGAAATGACTCCATTGGAGAAATACGCGTAAGTTACCTAGACGAAATTGTGGCAAGTCATGATGCGCCACTATAGATTATTTCCGACTGTGATACTCGTTTCACTCCTCACTTTTGGGTGAGAATAAAGCATGAGTTAGGATCTCAAGTTGCTCTTAGTACAACTTATCATCCTCAGATAAATGATCAAAAGAAGAGAGAAATCCAAACAATAGAAAATATAGTGAAGGTATATAAAGTACTGTATGAGCATAAATGTCATATGTTGGCGTGACGTAAGATGGAAGATCTTTAGAGGATCTGAAATGATTCAAGACATCACTAACAAGACACAAATTTTCCGAGAAAGAATGAAAGCGGCCCAGGATCGATAAATTCCCTATGCAGAAAAGAGGAGACGACCCGTAGAATTCTGGGTGGATGATTTAGTAATACTGAAGGTATTTCATGAAAAGGCGTTATACTACTATAATCATGATCTAAGGCCTCACCTATCTCTGGGCCTCGCCCGCTAAACACATACAACATATAACATAACGCATAACAAGTAGCTAACATACTCTACTAAAATTATGATCTAAGGCCTCACCTATCTTGGGACCCACCCCTGTCCTGCTACTGGTGAGTCATGAAACCCCGTCCATGCTCCTACTGTTGGTGAGATACGGGCCCCCGCCCACATTCACTCTTCCCCTACCTCGGGCCTCGCCCCTGCTATGCTACTAATGAGATACGGGTGCTAATGATGAGATACGGGTCCTCTCCCACACCCACCTTCCTACCGGGCACATACAACTATCACACAAATAACAAGTATAATCTAACATGCAAACATTCTCCGGGCACCCGCCCGACATCGGACCTTGGTCCGGAATAACATACTAGCATACATTGCCTAGGGCTAACCCTTGGGTCTTCCTACTCCTAAACTATATGGGTTGTCATTGTGTCCTTAGACACATTCACACAATGAGGAGATCACCTTGCACTGTTGAACCCTTACTGATATCCCTTTGGCTGCTATGTGACAATTCCCGAACCGCTGCTCCTTTAGCTCCCCGAGCTATCAATACCAAAACATCACTTAGTCCAATACAATAATTCTTCATAGGGTAGAATGACCATTCTACCCCTCCTAGCCCGACTTGATACATATCCAAGATCCACTACCATGATTCACAAGGTCCAATACTAGGTAAGCTTTTCAACCCATTAGTAGCCCACTAATGGCCCATTTGCTCCATTGGGCCCATTCCCTTTAATAGGCCTTACCTAAGCCCATAACATATTTTTGGCCCATATCAACTGACTCCTGATGACCCACTCTGACCTAAAGGCCTAAATTCCAAAGCACAGCCCAAACCGAGGCCCAATAACGCAAAGCCCAAACTGTTAGAGTACGCAGGGCGTACATTCACGTACGCTAAGTATACTAGCCATAAGGAAAGTTAGAAGCTTTATACCTTCTGGGGTTTGGAAATGAGCTGGAGAACTTGGATCTAAAAGTTCTTCCTTGATCAATGAGACTCCAAGATGATCACTCCTCCCCAAGAACACTAGAATACACTCCAAAATGGTCTTACAAGCTCCAAGCACACTCAAAAGGGTTTAGGGTTTCGTAGCAGCTCTTCAAGGTGAGATGGAGGCTGAATTTTGAGGGTATAAGGTTCCTTATATAGTGACACACCCTAAATTAGGGTTTTCTGGACTCTGGACGTACGCTGGGCGTACGCAAAAAAGCTACCGCGACCATTTACCTTTATACGTTGGGCGTACTCGCGCATTTGCCACCTTGCATGCATGGTTCTTCTTGCCATTTATTTCCATTAGGGTTCATTTCTGTCAATAATTTCAAAGTGTCATAACTCCTTCGTTCCAAGTCCGTTTCCGGCGAACTTTATATCCATGAAAAGGTGGTGAGAAGCCCTACGCATCTAGCGACACACCCCGGCCCAAAACCTCACGAATAAAAACTCAAAACCCATAAAAGACCGAAACACCCCTAACCTTGGCCTCTGAAATCCATAAACATATATTTTCATATCAAGGTGCTATACGATTCTTGCTTAGTTGCTAGGAAAGGGCGGTTGATTATGGAATCGGTGATTATGACAATGCTTTGGGTGATTTGGTCCTATAGGAATTCAACTATTTTTTCCCATTCTAAGTATAAGAAACAATTTATTTTTGACGATACTGTTGAGTTGTCTTTTAGTTGGTTTTATTCTCGGAATTCTAAGGCTAGTAACATCTGGATTGGGTGGTTAACCAATCCAATGTTGCCTTTGTTTGTTTTTTGTGCTAGCCACTGGCTAGCTTTTTCTTGGTCTTATAAAATTTTGATGCTGTTAAAAAAACACTTAAGACTACAATACTATATATATTAGTATTAACATAGACTCCTAAATGTATAGTATAACTCAGGCCTATTACTTCTCTATCTATTACTTCATAACACCTTCTCAATCAGAAATGCACATCATTAGATTCAATATTTCTTGAATCAACAGTTGATATTTCCGTAAAGAAAGAAACATCTGTGAATTTTTTGACGGATCCGCTTGATGGAATATCTACTTTCAGGACGACTGACATTTTGGTCTTTTGATGAGTAGGAGGGAAGCACACCTGTGTGGATCTTACTGGGTCTCCCCTCTCTTCGGTTTGAGGAGCGGAGGTTTCACAGCGGGATATGCCGCTTTGAAAGCCGTTGCGTGCAGAGTAGCAAAACATGATAATACATGCATTGAAAATCAACATGTGTTTATACATTTCATATTTGATACATTTGGTTTTCTCACACCAGATGCGGTGAAGCTCATCACTAGAATCTTATGGATCATGCATTCTAATACTATATCTCATAGATCTACAAATGTTATTTTCAAAAAAATTAGTTTTGTCATCAAAAAAAAACTAGCGGTGCAACTTGTTGCCTGATTGCCTTCCGTCGATATGTATTGATTTTTTATCAATATTTAATGACAATCGCAGAATATATATAATGACACACAAAACGCATATTAGCTTTTAGCTTTAATATTTTTTATCTATTTTAGTCAAACAATTTTATAAATTTTTTTTAAAAAAAAAAACTACCTTGTAGTTACTTGTTTTTGTCAAACAATGTTACTAATCACTTTGATGATGAAAATAGAGTGCCGCTGAAATGATATTTTGCATCCAACAAATTCAAAACCCAAAAAATTGATGTGGTTAGAATTGCTCTAAGTATAAACGAAGACCGTCGGTGGTGGGACCAGAGGTCTTAAAGTGTTTCACCATATATCTTTATCTCAGATTTTAAAATTTAAGATTTATATTTAAAGGAGTTATTCAATTTTGTGAAAGTACTTTGGATTTTTTTTTTCATTCTCTTTTTTATTTAAGGGAAAATTTTATATATGCCCTTCTTAAACATCAAAATATCATATTTACCCAACTTAATTTTTAAATATCATATTTACCCTTCATAAAATTTGTAAATATCATATTTACCATTCATAAAATTTCAAAATATCATATATGTCCTTTTTAAACATCATAATATCATATATTACCTTCTTAAATATCAAAATATCGTATATACACTTTTTAAACATCAAAATATCAATGGTAATATCTAAAATATTCTTCATCTACAACATAATCAACAAAAAAAACTAAACAATCAAAATATACATTCTATAGAGAGGGTTGAAGATGAATATTTTTGTTTGTCAAGATGACGATATTCCAACAATTTAAAAGTTTACATTTCATTATCATAGACGTAAGGATAATATTGTTAAATTTTTTAATTATTATAGTAATTTTAAGTTATTAAAAATGATTATAAAATATTAAAAACATTATAAAAAAAGATTTGAGCAAATATGATATTTTGAAGGTTTATGAAGGATATATATGATATTAAGAAATTAAGTTGGGCAAATATGATATTTTAAGGTTTAAGAATGGTATATATGAAATTCTCCCTTTATTTAACAATACTTAAAATTTAGAGATAAGTTTGCCCTTTTTCATATAGGTGCGAGTAATGCCGATTTAATTGTCAATGATGTGCCGTGACATTTTGTATTTTAAACCTCTTATAGTAATATATTTTCTTTTATAGAAGACAACAAGCAACCAACACCATGGTTTTAGAAAATTTGTTACAAAACATGTAAAGTCCTCGGAAATTTACCTGCCAAAAGGTACAATTATAGAAAAGTAATATTAAATGAGAAGTACTTTGTCACATCTTATCAAGTTGACATAAACTAATAACTTGGACCAAAAATTAAATGTTTAAAAAAGATTAATTATGGATATCAAATCATCTCATCATTGTCGTTGAACAACAAAAAACACTGTGGCATTGTTAATTCCACAATTCCACAAATAAATAATAAAACAAATCCAGTTTTGGGAGGTGCGATTACGGCAAGGTTTCTCTTTAACTTAACCCCAGGGTCGCTTTCAGGTTTTTGGTTCTCTTTGACACCTAATAATAAGTAACCGATTTCACGATTGATCCAATCTTTCCACGAAATTAAAGCGATTCTAGAGAGAGAAGATCACGTAATCAAAGATATTCTAGAGAGAGAGAGAGAGAGAGAGAGAGAGAGAGAGAGAGAGAGAGAGAACCTTCGATTCTTGTTGTTCTTGAAAATGTCTTCTATCAGTGATGAGTTCATCAATCTGATTTGAAAGACTTCATATGATTTGGTATGGGCTTAAGAGCTTCGCTTTTCTTGATTATAACTTTTTACCAAACTTTGAATTCATAATTTTTATAGGTTATCAAAGATTTTTTTTTTTTTTTTCTGGGTTTTTCAGGACTCCGAAATTCTCTCACACACACTAACTCCATTCCAGTTTTCAATCTTGATGAAAAATCTTCTTGATGTTTTAACCCTTATTTCAAGAAACTGGTTGGGTGTATGAAATAGTTGCAGTTAGGTTCTCACATCGTTTCTGGGTTTGAAATTATTTTCGAGAAACCTTTCAATTCTTTTATATCATATGTTTCATACATTCCTATGGTTAATTTTGCAGAAAAAAAAAATGGAGGATGAAGGAATGATTCAAGGGGTGGATAAATTAACAACGCCTTCATATTTGGTCGTTGCTTTAGCTGTCAACGGAAATAAAAAAACCAAATATGTGGTTAGATGGGCATTGGATAAATTCGTTCCTGAGGGTATTCTTCTCTTCAAATTGATCCTTGTTCGCCCTAAAATCACTCGAATTCCAACACCCAGTAAGTTTCACTTTCAAAAACCCTTCACTTCTCATATAATTTCAAAAAAAAAAAAAAAATCCTTAATTTTTTTACAGTGGGTGTTGTTCCTGCTTCACAAGTGCGAGATGATGTAGTAATTGCTTACAAAAAGGAAGTCGAATGGCAAGCATACGAAAAGCTTCTTCCGTTCAAGAACATGTGTGCCAAGAAAAAGGTTTGATTTTTATATGATTTTCTTGATTCTTGATCATAAGATTAAAGTTTTCTTTTTATTTTCAGGTGCAGGTAGAAATCTTGCAAATCGAATCAGATGATGTGGTGGATGCTATAAAACAGGAAATTGTAAAAGGCAATATTAACAAGCTTGTGATTGGAGCTTCATCGAGTGGCATGTTCTCGAGGTACCCAATACTTTATGCACTTTTTGTTCTCTTTTTCCTTTTTTTTGTTATTTTATTTAAATGTCGATGTGTTCTTGGTGTTCTAGGGGGAAGGGTTTGTCGTCTAGAATATCTGAAAGCATTCCGAGTTTTTGTACAGTGTATGCGATTTCAAAAGGGAAATTATCATCACTCAGGGCTTCTGATTCTGATACCATTGGATCGAGTAAAGATGATAACAGTAGTGATTCAAGTTCTGTCACCAATTCTTCAAGAACAGGTACCTCGTATAATCATGAAAAAGAACACCTTTGGCTTTGACTTACTAGGTCAACGAGATTGATTTTCTAAGTCAATTTCGATACAAATTCTTCTGTTTTCTTCGAAAAATTAACAACCTATTAAAGACTATAACAATTAGAATGAGTAGAAAGATGTTGGTATCAAATATAAATCAAGATTCATACGAAATTTAATTCTGATAATTATGGATTTGACCTCAAAAGTCCAAAAAAAATTATTTTTTAATTTATAATTTTGCAACAGAGTGGACAGACCAAGGGTCAGCTGCTACTTCCTTTTCCCAGTTCTTTTCAACTTCACTACCAATGCAACGATTCGAAGCACTTTCATCTATAAACCGGACCCTTCACCAAAGAACCAGTTCGTTCGAAAATCCCGAGAAAAATACCGACTTTTATCGAGCAAATAGTAACGATTTCAGCACCAGAAGCTTCGGGACTGAAAACCATTCTTGGACATCCGATCAAGCTTCCAGCTCTTACGCCCTTTCAGAAATTTCAACAGAAATTCAGGTTTCTTCTCTATCAATTGCATCCAAACCTTGATTTAGGGTTCTAGCAAGCTCTAATTTTGTCAAAAACTGGTTGTGCAGGGTAATAATGTCGATTTTGAGCTGGAAAAACTTCGTGTTGAACTCCGACACGTTCGCGGGATGTATGCAATTGCACAAAATGAGTCTTTTGACGCGTCCCGAAAGGTAATTTCCGTTTTCCCTCTTCAAACCTTAATTTTTATTTTTATTTTTTTTAAATCTCATCGATTTTGATACCCATTTAACTGTTTTCTGTCAGTTGAAAGATCTTAAAGAACGACAGGCAGAGGAGTCGATTAAGCTCAAGGAGATAAAAGCTAAAGAAGAGGAAGCAAAAACGTTAGCTGAACAAGAGAAGCAGGAGCACGAAAAAGCTAAAAGACAAGCGGAATATGTAAAAGAATGTCTAAGAAGAGAAGCTGCCGTGAGGAAAGATGCAGAAGAGAAGGCGTTACAGGAACATCGAGAGAAAGAAAAGCTTCTGGATGCCATAATCGGGAGTTCTCCACACTACCAAAAATTCACCTGGGAAGAAATCGTGGATGCTTGTTCTTCGTTTTCTGAAGATCTTAAGATAGGAACAGGAGGGAACGGAATTGTGTACAAATCGAGCTTTCATCATACAGTTGCTGCTGTGAAAGTTCTTCATTCTCAGGAAGCTCACAGAACTAAACAATTTCAGCAGGAGGTATTAAATATGTATCCAATTTAACTAATAAAGATTTGTAGACGCCCATACTGAAACCTAATCAATGATGTTACAGCTTGAAGTGTTGAGCAGAATACGGCATCCGCATTTGCTGATTCTTATCGGTGCGTGTGTGGATCATGGTTGCTTAGTTTATGAATACATGGAAAACGGGAGCTTAGACGAGAGATTATTTCGCAAAAACAACACGCCTCCAATCCCGTGGTCCGATAGGTTTCGAATCGCATGGGAAGTAGCATCAGCCCTAGTTTTCCTTCACAACGCACAGCCAAAATCGATTGTTCATCGTGACCTAAAACCAGCAAACATATTACTCGATAGAAATCTCGTGAGCAAGATCGGTGATGTTGGTCTCTCTACAATGCTTCAATCAGACTCATGTTCCACGAGCACCGTGTACAAGGACACGGGTCCCGCGGGCACGTTTTGTTACATCGATCCAGAGTATCAACGAACGGGACTCGTTTCTCCAAAATCAGACGTTTATGCTTTGGGTATGGTGATTTTGCAGCTGCTGACAGCCAAACCGGCGATAGGGATAACAGATGCTGTGGAAACTGCTATTGAAGATGATGAGTTAGCCATGGTGCTAGATCCTGAAGCTGGTGAGTGGCCGATGGATGTGGCAAAAGAGTTGGCTGTTTTAGGGTTGAGTTGTGCGGAGATTCGCCGGAAAGATAGACCGGATTTGAAGAAGACGGTCCTTCCGGTATTGGAAAGACTGAAAACGGTCACCGGTGAAGCTCAAAGGATCGCATCCATGACACCGACCACCCCTCCGAACCATTTCATATGCCCGATACTCAAGGTATGCTTGCTTTTTGAAAATTATAAAGATGAGTAAATTACAGTTTTGGTCCTTCTACTATATCATTATTTAAACAGGGTATAGAAATTTGATTTTTTGTTCTTTTTTGCCCTTAAATAACTTTGTTTTCATGCAGGATGTTATGGTTGATCCTTGTGTTGCTGCTGATGGTTACACTTACGATCGCAGGGCGATGGAGAAATGGTTGGAGGCGAGTGATACTTCCCCCATGACTAATTTACCGTTACTGAGTAGAAGCTTAACACCAAACTACACACTTCTTTCCGCAATAATGGAATGGAAATCAACTAAACAATGATTTGAGTAAGTATTTTTGGTGGAATCCCATTTTTTAGGATTGTTTAGCTTAGGTACATATATCTTTGTTTGAGTTAGATGCCATTTTGGGTCTTGATAGAACCTTGAGCTTTAAAAAGCTTATATAAATGTTATAAATGTATATATTTTGACTTCAAAACATGTACCAAATACCGTGAATAGTAAGTACATGATGAACTTGTGACTATAAAACATGATTCAAGGATAAGAAGCCAAAACGATGTGCTTGATATGTATCATGCAAATATGTATCGGGCACGTATGTGTACAATCAAGAAAGTAATTTGAGTGAGTTTTTTTTTTTGGTGCAATACCGTTTTTAATTGTTTTATGTGCATATGTTTGTTTTGATTTAGATGCTATTTGGGTTCTCAAGAAGAACCTTGAGTTTTGAAAATCCTATATAATTGGTATGCATGCACATGTTTTTGGCTCCAAAATACTGCAAATTGAGTCTGGGTTCTTGAACAAATATTATTATTAATACATTCACACCCAAGCTTGACTGTGGTACAACAACATTGTAATTTTTACAAGAAATAATGCATAATATGATTTGCTTAAACAAGATTGGTAGTTTGTCTATTCGTTTTCTTGAATATTATAAGTGTTACGTAAAATATCTAAAGTATGGAAGTGTAAGGATTTAGCTTTCGTTGAGGCGACGACCCCTGCCACGAAAAGTTGCTCCATTTTGTGTAGTCACTGTGTTTGTTTCCCCTTCACGGCTTGTTGTGGTCCCACCAACACGATAACTTCCCCCTCGGAAAGCAACTCCGGTGGCTGGGTCCCTCTGAACCGGACTATTCATTTGGTATCCCTTACCCCAACACGCAACCAGCTTGTGACTATAAAACAAGATTCAAGGATAACAATCCAAAACATTGTGCATGATATGTACAATTATGTAATGTATCTTACATATTTACGTATCAAGCATAACTTAACTGTGTGCTTGATACGTACATTGTTTCCATTTTATTTTTTTTGCTACTTGAAGTTGCTAGAATTGAATGAAAAAAAATGCAAAGGAGGATACACCCAAAGAGGAGTCTTGCATAAATCTCTGCCACCAGCAAGAGGGTGAAGAACCGTCAAGAAGTAATATAAATGGCCAACACCAATTCCCAGTAAATCCGGCATCAATGGATTCCCAAACACTAAATCTAATGCAAGCATAGCCCAAGGTAAATAGAACCCCTACATTATCTCGTTCAAAAAACCCATCAATAAACCATCACAATATATTAAAAGAGCTGTGAATAATCTTCACAAATAAGTGAGAATCAAGATACCTTCAACTCTACAAGACCTTGAATGTTAATACGTGTGTTAGGGAGCTCACGGCTCCAGACATAAACAATCATGAACACCAACGAGGCTCCCATGAAGGGAGACCAAAGAAATGGAACAGCAGCCACAGCCTAAAAAAGACACCAATTATCATCATCATCATCATCATAAAAAGCATGTTCTTTGCTACCATACCAGTAGGGAGAATGATCCAAAGAAGAACATCCATACGTAATCTGCTGTCCTCTTGTCGAAAGGACCCCTTTCTAAAGAAACCCCATAACGTAATCTAGAATAAAAAACACTTGAACTTTAAAGAAAATTCAACTTCCATGTAGTGGCAAAAACGGTAAAAGATTGGGAAAAAGTTTACATCATCAGTAGGTGAAACGCAAATGGTAAAGAGAAAGGCCCGAGGAAAAGGAAATTTGTTATAAGCCTCCAAATCTGCACCACAGCAATATTACAAGTAGCACTATTTGTGTAGAAGTAAATAAAAAAAAATCAGTGAGCTAGTGAAGTTTACTTGAAATTGCTTGAAAACGTCTTTGTAAACGAGAGCTATGGTATCAGGGTAGTAAAGCCCAAGATGATAGGCTCCGGTTGTTACTAAACATATGGTTGCATATGTCTTGGCCACAGGTGGTAAAGAATTATAATACCTGATTATTTATTTATCAGCAAATTTCCGAAACATCCATCTTCTTACAAAAAATAATGAATTTCAAAAAAAAAAAAAAAATGGTAGAGAAGAAGTCTTACTCCTTGGGGGTAGTCATTGTTGCTGATGGAATTTGGTTCTTCTGTAATCGATTATGAATTTAATGAATGATTTCTGTATCTCAAAATATTTAAAAGTTATCAGTTTTAAAGACCGGAAATCCCAACGAAGACTTTTGGAGTCATTAGACGACCCAATACAACTTTTTTTTGTTATTTCTGCACGGCAGACAAATAGACTTGGTCAACCATCAAGAGGAGACTTTCATATTGACTCACAGTCGACCTTAGGTAGTGGCTGACCGGAACAAAGAACAAAGTCAGCCATAAATGATTTTATGGGTAGGACACCGGAAAAATTATAATTTACCAGAAAATTTATCGAAAAAATTGGAGGGATAACATGGATTACCCTAACAAATCTAAAATAGAAAAACATATGGTTCCTTAGTTAAATGAAACCAAAAAATCCAAAGCGTCAACAATACACATGATGGGTCGAGTCAAACCAACAAAAACCAACCTTAACCCCTAAAATTGGATTTTTGCAAAATAATAATAATAATAATAATAATAACTAGTTTACATAAATGTGTCTTTTCTTTTAAAAGAAGCAATGTACAACAACCATTTCCCACGATCAACAATATGGGAGGAGTTGTATTGTTTTTCATAAGTTTTTATAACATTCTACTACTAATTTTATAGAAACAAACATATGCATCTCTTTCTCTCTATCTCCGTGTGGGATAGGTTTTGATAAACATTAACAATTTTCTTTGCAAATTTAAGTATAAACCCTCCACAATTTTTTATTTATTTGTTCAAATAATATAAAGTAGGTCTTAAATGTTTTCCAATGTAGGTCCTAAAATTCATTTCATATAAATACATTGGTTCTAGAACCTACATTGGTTCTAAGTGGCTTCGCCTTTGAACCCAACCAACCAAGTAGGTTTGACATTGCTTACCAAAAGTATTGTCACTTCAACATCCCATCATCGCCACTTATCTAGGAAATACTTACCACTTCTGTCTATCATTTTATTCTTATTTTGTAATTATTTAAATACAAAATTACATTCATAAAGTTAAATAAAAACTACATTCATAAAAGCAAATAAAATTTACATTGAACTAGATAAAAATATAAGGAATTTTCCTTTTCACCATTAAAATCGTTTTAAGGTCCAAGGCACAACATCATCCGACATCTTTAAAATTACATAACAATTAAGATTTGGGAAAGAGAGTTCAAAATATAGTTTTTCGGGAAAACGATGCCGCTCATTTTCCTTTATCCATTCCAATCAGTCTTTGAATGGGTTCTTACACTTGAATCACTTCAACATCGTCGTTGAGGTCATTATTGTACCAACGTCCGACATATGGGTTGGATTGACCTCAACGATGATGTCGAAGTGATTCCACTGTAAGAATCCACATGTCTGACCTCAACGGACAGTGTGCGCAACTCCACGCATATGCCACACATCACCACACTCTTAGTGTGGGAGGTGTACCCACAAGCCTAATAAAATAAAAATGCACAAAATAACATAAAACAAATTTCATTTAGTTTTGTAAACTCACGCTATTGTTCATAATGTCTACAATTTTGTGAAGAAAAAAAAAAGGTCTCTATGTATATACATAATAGTGATGTACAAATAAATACATGGGTATAGATACGTAAGGGGCAAAACCATCAATTTCCTATCAGATCAACCTATGTTTCAGGGCCAGAAGCAAACAAACTAATAAGACCACGAAAGACTTGCGCAGAGAGTTTTTGTGCTTGAAGTATCTCACCATCCACATTCCACACACTCTCCTCCCCAGAAGAAGTAAATGTGAAGGTCGTAGTCTGTAAAAATAAACAAAACGTTTTCAATACAATAAGGATACGCTTTTTATTTCAGTTTCTTTATATAAAAAAAAAATTAAAAAATTTACTTTATGGTGTTCAACAAAATCGAAATTCAGTGGTGTTCCACCTTTCCTTGCTAGCTGCGTGAGATGCCTACATACGACCAATCAAACGTCATTAGTCACATTTAGGAGAAAACCGGACAAAACAGAACAGGTTGTACTGTATTTGACTTAGACAGTGACAAATATGAGATAGAGAGAAGTTATATGTTTTTACCATAAATAGAAAGCACGAGGACAATCTTTGATCAAAATAAGATGCAGGAAACCGTCTGCAAGGTGTGCATCAGCCACCAACCCATCAGGTGCTTTTTCATTTCTGCAAGAGATTACAGCAGCCCCAATGCTAAGAAACCTTCCTTTAACTCTCACCCAATTCGATTCTTTTTGTGGGTCCCGTGTTTCCATTTGCGGGGTGACAGGTGTATTACAAATATCACATTTGGCACGACACGGCACTCTTTCAGACTCCTTAGATAAACCCCAAAATGCCTTTACCCTTCTTGCATTCGCACCCGCATTTGTTTTTTCTGCTTCTACTTTCATATATGCTACTTTCGCCTCATATGACCTTCCAAGATAAGATATATGAACACAACTAACATGACTTAATACGGAAAGAACGACTTAACAGATAAAGCCAAGGCGTACCTGTGCCTAAGGAAGACTTTTGTTCCTGCATAGTCATATCGCTTTGGACCCATCCAGCGATATTTCTCGCTTTCTGTAATTACATCTCCATAAAATCCATACCTGGTAACATCCAAGAAAACAAAGAAAAAGTTGAGAGGAAAGCTTCTATCTTTCTAAAAGAAACAAATGAAATTACGAGTCTACCCTGCAAAAGAAGCTGCATAGCGTACACGAGGATCTTTTCCGGATTGTGATTTTTCCCATCTGACTACTTGAGCTATATCAAGACATAACCGTTTACCCAAGATTATTTGTAGTGCTGATGTCATCGAATCCCGAACTCCAGTTGTGCTGTTAAAAAAAAGTCAAAGGGAATTCACACATAAACACAACCAAGTAGGA